TGCCCCTCAACTGAAGAATGGATGGAGAAAATGTGGTTCATTTACACAATGGAGTACTACTCAGCAGAAAAAAAATCAATGGAATCTTGAAATTTGCAGGCAAATGGATGGAACTAGAAGAAACCATTTGGAGCAAGGTAACCCAATGACAAAAAGACAGACATGGTATGTACTCACTCATATGTGGATTTTAGACATAGAGTAATGGATTATAGTCTACAATCCACACTCTCAGAGAAGCTAGTAAACAAGGGAGACCCTAAGAGAGACATACATGGTCCCCTGGAGAAGGGGAAAGGGTCATGATCTCCCATGGTATGTACTCACTCATATGTGGATTTTAGACATAGAGTAATGGATTATAGTCTACAATCCACACTCTCAGAGAAGCTAGTAAACAAGGGAGACCCTAAGAGAGACATACATGGTCCCCTGGAGAAGGGGAAAGGGTCATGATCTCCCGAGCAAATTGGGAGCACGGGAAGAGGGGGAGGGAGCTAGGAGAATGAGAAGGGGAGAAGAGGAGGGGTGAGGAGGACATGAGGGAGCAGAATGGTTGAGTCAGGGGAAGAACAGAAGATAACAAGAATGGAGATACCATAATAGAGGGAGACATTTCAGGTGTACAGAGAAATCAGACACTAGGAAAATGTCTGGAGATCTACAAAGATGACACCAGCTAACAGTCTAAGCAACAGAGGAGAGACTACCTTAAATGCCCTCCTCTGATACTGAGATTGATGACTGACTTATATGCCACCCGATAATCCTCATCCAGTAGCTGGTGGAAGTAGAAGCAGACACCCACAACTAATCACTGAACTGAACTGGAATTCAGATGCAGAGAAGGACGAGTGAAGAGCAAAGGGGTACAGACCAGGCTGGTGAAATCCACAGAAACAGCTGACCTGAACATCGGGGAGCTCTTGGTCCCCAGACTAATAGCTGGGATACTAGCATGGGACTGATCCAGACCCCAGGAACATGGGTTTCAGTGAGGAAACCTTGGAAATCTACAGGACCTCCTGTAGTAAGTCAGTACTTATCCCTAGCATAGTGTGGAATTTGGGAGCCCATTCCACATAGAGGGATATTCTCTGAGCCAAGACACATGGGGGTGGGCCTAGGCCCTATCCCATAGGATATGATAGACTCTGATGACACCCTATGGAAGGCCTCACCATCCAGGGGAAGCAGAAAGGATATGTTATAGGTAGGGTTTCAGTTGGGGGGGTGGTAAGGGAGGAGGGGAGGGAGAGGGAACTGGGATTGTCAAGTAAAACAATCTTGTTTCTAATTCAAATTAAAAAAAACATCTGCAAAAAATATAACTGTCTGCTGAGTTAATAAGTTACGGAAGGTTTTTTCTTTTAGTCACAGGATTTTAGTTCCCCCACAGAGGTGGGCAACAGCAGGACTATTCAGGGGATGAAAGCTAACCCAAGTGAGGTGTCATTAGACTCTCTGTACTTGCAACATCCCTACCCATCCAGACCAATGCATTTTGAATCAGTGCAGCAGTCTCTGCAGACACGTGTTTTCACAGAAATTCTCCTTCACACCTAGAATAGTCTAAGTTGCGGTCTGTTCATTGCAGCTGACAGATCAGGACTACTCTATGGGATAAAGATTTTAATCTCTTAGAAACCATCCCAATGAATTCTACAAAAATCTCTATTAAACTTACCATTGAGAAAGGCTGGTCTCAGGATGATGGTAACTCATCTGAAAGTAATGTGTATCTTTTATTTACAGACCTTGAATATGTTCTACACAATGTCCTAAACATTAGCATGCATTATCTTATTTAATATTCAGAATGGCCTTATTGGACAGGTATTATTATCCCTGTATAAGAGATGATAAATCTGAGGGTGAATGACTAAGTAACTTTCCCGTTATCATATAAAAGTTTATTCTGTAGAATATTAGCTTTTCAAAAACTAAATTATATTTTTTAGAGCAGCTATAATCAAATATCTTCAAGTGGGTAGCTTAAAACACAGAGATGTCTTATCTCATGCCTCTACAAGTCTGTAGTGCCATGTTTTCTGAAAGACAGCTTTGCTTACATCTTTTACCTGGTTCCCTTGGCATCCCTTGGATTATAAACTCATTATTACAGCTATGCCTCTGTGATCACAATGGGGTTTCCTTTCTGTGTGTCTCTTTTCTTTATATGAACAGTTATACTGGATTTGGTGCCCCTCTGTTCAAGTGTGACCTTATTTGCCTTAACTATTGGTGTCTATGGTGACCCTATTTCCAAATACATTGTATCCTGAGGTATTGGGTTGTTAGAAATCTTTCTTTAATTTCATCTACAACTAAGTGTTATTAAGGAATGCTCAAAAAGAATCTTGCAGTTGAATAAGCTTGAGACACACCATTAAAGGAACTTTTCCAGTGAAACCTGGGATGGAGTGATGCTAGTCTGTTAGTCTGCTCTCAGCCCAGTGGGAGAACCCTGGTGCAGGTGCCCTTCCTTCTGGATTTTGTCTGCCGTGTCACTTGAGACAAGCACTTCTCTCCTCGAGTCTGAGTTTCCTTATTTCTAAGAAACAATGCTGTACTTTCACCATGGGTTTCTTGAGGGACTAAATTAAATGAGGCTGACCTGAATAACATCCACTACAGGCTCTGGCATAGAAACAGGTACACACTTAAAGAGTAGGCACCTTTGTTATGCTGGCAAGATGGTTCAGAAGTTCTTGGCAGTTCTGAAAATTTTTATTTTTAGAGAATTTCATGTGAACACTGTTTACATAATTTCTACGCCTCTCTTTCTCCCCTCCCATATTCTTCCCAATCCTCTCAACTTAAAGACAGCTTCCTCTGTATCATTATTGTTACTTCCCAGAAAGCATCCCCACAACAACAACAAAAAACAGGGTCCATTTAGTGTTTGGTGTTGCTTTTATGTACACCTGTTTAGGTCTGACCCCTTGGGATAGATAACCTATCAGGGGGCTCATCCCTGGAGAAAACTGATTCTCCATCTTTCAGCAGGAATTTATTGGCTGTAGCTCTTCATCTAGGGTCATGGTCTTGTTAGTATATCAACTGGTGTCGTTATACAGGTCATATTTAATCAACCATATTGTTGAGATCCACGGGTGCAGCTTCCCTGTCCTGTCCAGAAGATACTATCTAGCAGTAGGCATCCTGGTCTTTTGGTTCTTATCATCTTTCTTCATCTTTTCCACAATGACCCCTCATATTTCCATGTCGGGTTTGAGTCAACTGGGGCTAGAAAACCCATGATAAGTTGTTCTTTACATTTGACAAGTTGTATTGCAAAAGGAAACATCTTTGATGAAGGTCAAGAACTACACTTATTGAAAGTGTGAATATTGAGAATACATCTGTAAACTGTACTATTTTGACTTAGAAAAATGGTGGTAATAGGTTCTGCTCCTGGATCTAATATCTCTCCAGTCAGAGGTAGTTGGCTAGGTTTATAGTACCAAGCATGAATTCCCCCTTAAAATGAGCCTTAAATCCAATTAGACAGTTTTTGGTTACCCCCAAAATGTGTCACTACTGTACCATTGGGGATATTTTGCTGTGCAGGTCATTGCTGTGGTTCATAGGCTTTATACCTGGATAGGACTGTTGATTAGTTTTTCTCCCTTGGCAGCTTGCCTAGCAGTTTCTGATGCTATGAGAACCAGTCATGGAGGAGGCTTCCAGGTCAGTTACGTCTCAAGTCTTTCGTGTCCCGTGTCTGAAGTGTGCTGTTTTCAGCAACAGGATTCTATCTTTGAGATCTTGGAGCCAATCAAGGGCAATGGCTTTTCCTTCCTCCCACTTGAGACAGGGGGGTCTTACTATATAGCTCTGGCTGTCCTAGAACTCATTATGTAGCTCAAACTTGCCTCAAACTCAGAGGTCCATCAGCCTCCGAGTGGGGGATTAAGGGTGTGTGCCACCATTCTTTTTTTTTTTTTTTTTTTTTTTGAGAATTTCCTTGACCATTCTGACCAGAAATTTGAAGGGAAGTTCCCATGCCTGCCTGACAATGGGGTTTCTTTTAGATGGTCCATGACTCTTGTGACACAACTCCACTTCAAACACACACACACACACACACACACACACACACACACACACACACACTCCATATATGTACCTTTAAATAAGCAGATAAAATAATGTTTTTCCCAAGGCTTTTCCAAAGATCCTCAGTATTATTTGTCTTTCCTTCCTTCCTCCCTGTCTGTATTATCCCTCCTTTTCTGTCCCCAGTTAAAGCCCTTCCCCCTTTCCCTGTTCACAACACCTGTATCCTATTAAACCATCTCTGGAGTGCACTGTCCCCTTCCCTCCCACGATCTCTTTCTACTTTCCCAGCTTCTATGGTTACTTTAGGTTGCATATTCACATCTAAAGCTCTAGAGAGCACATGTGGCATCTGTCTTTCTGGGACTGGGGAACTTTAGGGTAATATTTTTTCATTTCCACCCATTTACCTGAAAATTTCATGATTTTATTTTTGTTTACACCTGGGCCTCTTAACAGTGTGGCGACATTGTAGGGGGTTGGGCACTCACCTGGCTGGGCTGGTGCTCATGGAAATGTGGGGATGGAGACAGTTTCTTGGAAGTTTTATTAAGAACTTTTAAAATCTCAAGAACAATACCTAAGCAGGGCAGTTTCAACTCAATCAAGTTTTATTGATCGTCTCATATCATTTTTCCTCTTTAGGAGAATTTTACATATGACAATAAAAATTTACATCTGGTAAATATTTGAGTCAGCTGCACTACTTAATTTCCAGCATTAGGAAAGCATGGGCTGTTCAGCTGTGCAGTTCCTCTTTCTGACTTGTCACCCCAGTGAGGGGAAAAGGATGTCATCGTGTAGTCAGCAGCAGAAGAGAAATTTCGAAAGAGACCTCACTGTGAAAAGGCAGCCCACAACCACCTCTGCTCTCAGAGGAGACTGAGCTCCTCAGTGAACATATCTGAAGAGTGGCCCTGTGTGTCTGTCCATCAGGCATGGAACCAAAGCGGATCAGGGAGGGCTACCTGGTGAAGAAGGTAAGTAGGGAAACCACTAATGAGGGTGGACCTGGAGAGGGGCTAGCCGAGGATTAGTGCTTGTTTAATACTCTGCCTGTCTTTGGCAGGGATGTTCCATGCTGGATCTATTAAGCTGAAATGAGAGAGCATTGCATCATATAGACAGTGTGTTGGGGTGGGACCATTACCTATTTCGTCTTAAAAGTGAATTAACCTAGCTCAGGCTTCAGCAAAGTTTGCCCTTACAAGCCTAAGAATTCCAGACTGCAGGGTGTGAAAGGTAAAAATCCAGATTAACTTTTTCATGTCTTAAAACACTTTGACTTTTGGGTAAAACACCTCAGATTATTTGTTACAGAAGTTACCTGGAAGACTGTTCACTTCTTATTTACACTTCAGGGTGGTGGAAGGATTAGGGGTGGGCTGGACAGGGGTGAGTAGCAATAAGTTGACAAAACAGTATAGCTAATTTCTCTGGCTTCTTGGACTTACTGCATGAAAGATGCTATGTTTTTGTTTCACGGTTATGAGGGTGGTTGTGGGTTACAAGTTCTTACAACTTTAGGAAATTTGTGTAACAGATCACCAAAATGGTAGATGTGTTGTCTTAAAGAATACAGTGGAGATGTGCAAATACTAAAGACTGCTTTGTGGCATGGGAAATTGAATTTTACTAATGTTTCTGGCCTTTCTTTTGCTGCAGTGTGTTCTCTGAGTTGGGAAAGTTCCCTGCACAGTGTATTCACACATAGGGGCTGCTGGCATCCTGTGGGCAAAATGCTGTGAATAAACACACTGATGTGAAGCCAAGTGGGTTCACCAGCTTTTGACTAAATTCATGGGTAGCTTTCTAACCAAATAAGCAGCAATGTGACTCTTATTTTCTTTTAAGCTCAATTAAATCCATTAATTAATTGGTTAATTTTTTTTTCGAGATAGGGTTTCTCTGTGTAGCTTTGGAGCCTTTCCTGGAATTTGCTCTGTTGACCAGACTGGCCTCTGCCTCCCAAGTGTTGGGATTGAAGGCATGTTGGGCCAACATCCAGTCTTGGTTAATCAGTTTTTGAGATGGGGGGGTCTCACTCTATAGTTCTTAATGTGCTTGTAAGGTTAACATTGAACTGGTGGCAAGCCTCCTGACTCAGGCTCCCCAAAATTGGGATTACAGGAATGAACAACCCCACCCAGCTGCAACTTTATCTTAGAGTTGCATTTATTTATTTTTAGTTTCAAATAGGCTATGTCTATGGACACTAAACAGTACACATTGTGATCTAGTTCCATTTTACTTTGGGTTAGAAAGAAACTGTGAAGAGACTAAGATGTCAATACATGGGGGTGTGACAGAGTCAGGAGAAATACCCTCTCTAAGTTTGGGCACTGGGTTCTCTATTTAGCTCTGCTGGTTTTTTTCTGAAGCAAAGATAGTCTCCATTAGTGTTCACAGTATATCTGTGGTGGCAAGAGTTATGAGTTGGTGCTGGAGAACTCATGGGCCTTCAGTGGTCTTTTCTTAGGCTAGATGAATTTTGAAACATCCTTTCCAAAAAAGAACATGTAGATGAAACAACTGGGTGTAGATTATTGGTAAACTGGCACCCACTCCTTCCCTCTCTGGGAGCTGAAAGGAACCATGGTTGATTGAACTGATCTCCTCCCTGATCACACTGAAGAGAATCTCAGTGTGTGTGTGTGTGTGTGTGTGTGTGTGTGTGTGTGTGTGTGTGTGTGTGTGTGTGTGTTTCTCTGTGTTTGCGTATTTGTGAGGGGGGTGCACATCTTCCATGGTGTGTGTATAAAGGTCAGAGGGCATCTTGCAGGAATCAGTTCTGTTCTTCCCCCATGTAGGTTCTGGGAATGTAACTCAGGGCATTCTGATTGCTGGCAGGCACCTTTGTCTGCTGGGCCACCTCACAGGCCAGGCTGTGTTTTAATACAAAATGATAAAATTGCTGTTATAAAGTTTGCATGCTTATACTTTTCAGTAACTATACCACAAAAATATAGATGATCCACTCTGCAATAAGTGAGGCCATTTCCCTAGAAAGTGGGGGTGGCAGATTCAGGACTGTGAAGCACCTGGATTTAATTGTTTTTAATCAGTCACAGTAATTCTCTCTGATTATTACTGATAGGTGTCAATCTAAGAAAGACTACAAGAGAGCATAGTGAAACTTCACATTGATTTTTATTTCCACAATGTAGGTCTCCCATAATTCTTGTGGAAATATACATTTACATAATATTCAATCTAATATGTAGCTTTTCATGTTGTTTTGCATTTCCTCAGGGACACTTATACACTTCTTGTAATATACAAAGATTTTTCTAATTTGGTACTTTACTGTTGTTTGAATTTTCTTTCAATGTGGGAATTCAAATCCAGGACCTCACATATGGTTAGGCAAAAGTCCTTTACTACTGAGATATACCCCAACCTTCCAATTTGGTGTTTTATGGGACTATTTGCTTCAGAAATAGTTTGTTGTTGCAGATGTAAACCTGAAACTGGGATTTTCTAATTTGACATCAAAATTTTCAGCTTCCTTATATTTTAAGTTTCTTTCAGTTATATAACATGTGGGTTAAAATATATCTATCTAGCTGGGCAGTGGTAGCACACATCTTTAATACCAGCATGCAGGAAGCAGAGGCAGGTGGATCTCTGTGAGTTCGAGGCCAGCCTGGTCTACAAAGCTACACAGAGAAACCTTGTCTTAAAAAACCAAAAATAAATCTATCTATCTATCTATCTATCTATCTATCTATCTATCTATCTATCTATCTATCCATCTACCTACCTATCTAGGAACCACAGTAGGTACCACATAAGTGAAGATGGACATCAGCAAGTACACATACTCGACAACTTGTGAGGTGTGTGATGATTCCAAATCAATCCTGAGGAAAGAGAATCTCCTTCTGTGGAGACTTTTTAGGAGTCATGGGTGTGGCTGCTCAGATAAAGGCATGCCAAGTAATAATAACAGAAGTCTCTTTTATGCAGTTGAAGATTCCAGGATAGGAATTACACATGCCTTTTTCCTATGTCTTATGAAATAATTATTTTCAGGTTAGGGTATTTTGGTTGGAAAAAATACAACATCGGAAAATGCTGGTGTAGGAATTTTGTCAAGTCTTGGGGTCATTGGCCAATGGTATAAACTGTAACATATCTCTTCTTTGTTTCCTCTCTCTCTCTCTCTCTCTCTCTCTCTCTCTCTCTCTCTCACACACACACACACACACTCTCTCTCTCTCACTGTGTTGTGTGTGTGTGTGTGTGTGTGTGTGTGTGTGTGTGTGTGTGTATGCGGCATGTACACAGTGTGTGTGCTGTGGTCACTGGACAACTTGCAGAGGTCGGTTTTCTTCTTCCACCATGTGGTTCCTGAGATTAGACTTCAGTCATCTGGCTTGACAGCCAGTGCATTTCCTGCTGAGCCATATCATGAGCCCATGTTTCTCTTTTTGTTCTGTTAGAGATAACTGTCCACATTTCACAATTTGTGTTTCCTTTTTGGCCTCCTGGCTAAGATCCTTAAATAGAGAGTATGGTTAAGAAGGGAAAAGAATGTGACTGTCATTTTTCAACCCTTTCATTCTGAGTTTGTCACTTGTGATTATTTTAAGGAGCATTTGTGTCCCTGTAGATACAGTTACACTAACATGATCTCTTTTCAATCTGAAAACCTCACAGGGAGTAGGTGACTTGCTCATTATCAAACAGCTGTAAGAGGAAAACCTGGGGTTCAAATCCAGGCAAAACCCCCATCTCATGATCCCGTAGTGCTCTAAAAGGCACAGATGTATTGCAAATAGCACTGGGTTTAGTAACTTCAGTTCTCTTTCTTTCTGATTAAGGGTTGGTTTTTGAGAATTAGTTTATTATTGATTTCCTGTGGATTGGATGTTCTTATAACTAAAGCTTTAAAACAAGAGAAAATTCCTTCATGTTATGTCTCACATTGCCAGAAACTAGTTTCCATGATAACAACCCAGCAATCACTAGGTGCTGAAGAACAGACTCAAACAGCAGCTTAAGACGTGAATATCCTGTGAGGCTGAAAGACAGCACAGGAATCATGTTGGTGAAAGGACAGAGGACTGGAGGTGGGTTTCCAAAGACTTATGGCAGAAGGTGTATGTTGTTGAGCCTGGTATGTATTGTTTAGCTCAGTGCAAGGTCTATCTTGTTGAGCCCAGTGAAAGATACCGATTGTTGAGCCCAGTGTAAAGTATCTATTGTTGAGCTCAGTGTTGAGCTGGTGTTGGGAAGAAGGGATTTGGTGGAGGTAGGAGTGAGATAAGAGAGGCTGATTGGGGAAGGGGTATTGATCAAAGTACATCATATGTAAGACATTGTTAAACAATAAGTAACTAAGTAAATGAACCAGAAGTGGGCAAATTTTATATAAAGACAGAACAGAACAGAAAGGGATTTTGTCTAAGAATTCTTTCCTGCAGCCATGCTGTATTCTGAACAGAATAAAATGATCCCTAGAAGTTTGCATTCCTCTCTGGTAGTAGTTACCGTGTGTGCTCACCACGTTAGGGACAGTTCTAAGCATTTAGTGCATTTATAGGCCATCCTGAGGATAACCATAGGGAATGGATACAATTATCCATTCTTTGCAGATGAAGAAATTGAGGAACTGAGGGGCAGAAGGTCTTGCTTAAGGCCCTCAAGATAATGCTTGGGACAGCCAATGTGGAACCAGGTGGTATAGTATTGGCATAACCCAGTGCTGTGTGTAACCACTGTAATCAGTTTTCATGTGGTCCTCATGGCTTCAAACTGCATTTACCTTCTTTTTCAAAGAATTCTTTTCTCTAATAGATGGGATCCAGGCCAGAATCATTCAGATGGTATTGCTTGCAAAATTGGGCTCTGACCTGTCTGTATTGTGGCTACTTTTGAGGCCCTGCCACAGGCTAACAGTATGCTAATATCTTTTAAGTGTATCATATCCCTTAGTGTTTATAAAGAGAAGTAGGTATTGATGCTTAGAAAAAAA